GAATCCTGAAAAAATAAAAAAAATAATGTCTTAGTTGAAAAAAATTGTTATATAATATAAGCTTGATGGAATTCTAAATATAGACAAAAAGGGTATAAATACAAGGTGTTACATCAGATTTTGACTTTTCATATTAACCATGGGTAACACCTCCAGTAAAGAAAAGAGTAAGGGAATGAGTAAAATTCAGTTTGGAAAGAGACTTCTTTCAGAGAAAGATGTAGACAGAGGAATACCAGTTAAAATAAAAAAAGATGGCACTATTGAGATCATTTCTCAAGAAGAATATAACCAATTATGTCCAGAAAAGGGTGATCCTAATGTTGTCAGAGATAACATAGAAAGACCCTTGATTGCAGAAGAAGCCAATGAAGAATATAACCATTTATTACCAAAAGAGGGTTAGAATTACTTGGATTACCCTGAAAGACCCTTGACTAGAGAAGAAGCTAAGTTTATAGATGATAAGAAAAAACAGTTGTCAGAAAAAAAAGATTGACAAAGACACAGGATTTTAAACCCACAAAACCATTGGAGATACAAGGATTACAAGATACAAGGATTAATGGAGGAAGTCCAAACTGAACTCTTGGAAGACATTAAGGCTCATTATGAGAGTAACTTTCCAGTGTTTGTTTATTACAAAATTATGTATTCTGATTAAAAAAAAAAAAATCACTTTCATTTGTTGTGCCTTTGGCCATTTAAATTGACCTTATGGTCAAGATTGTGATATATACACTCTGATAATCATCTATGATGTCTCTATGATGTTTACCTCAAAAGATTGAATCAGGGTATTTGTGTTCAAAGAGCTGAAGAAACTATACAGACAGATCTAAGATGTTGGAAGCATACATATTAATGAGGTTAAAGGAGATATAACACTAGATTATTAAAAAGAAAGAACACAAACTCATAGAAATGATATTGAAAGTACCTTTTATGAATAAAGTGTCATGCTCCAAGGTATTATTTTTATGAACAGGAGAAGGTTTACAGCAGTCCCATACACTCATAAGAAGATCTTGGGTAGTAGAAACACCAGAAAAATTTATTTCCATACAATCAGATCATCTTACATCAGTTATAAGGTTACAATATTTATACATAGTCAAGAGGGTCATTAAGATTTCTTTTCTGGTCATCCTAATGAGCCACATTATAGTATTCTTTCTCTTTGATATAATGTTAATATTAAATGGAAAATTCAGAATTCATCAGCAATTGAAATCAAAACTTCCTATCTTTACCAATTATGCTATTAAGGAAGCTGGGGGTTAACACATTAGCCATATTTAACTTATTCTATAAATATGTTATCTTCAGCTGTTAACTATCATTTGGCAAAGAAAAATTTCATACATTTTAGATTTAAAAATTTGATCATGAATTTTTATGCCTTTTCTTCTTCTTCTAAAGGATATCAATAGAGTTTAGACATGACCATGACCACCAAGCCCTCTTTATTTTAAAAAAATCATATATCATTTACTTATCAATTCAAAAATATAAAAATGCATATGTAAATAAATAAATAAAAATTACAATTGTATCTCATTGAAACTTTACCTTCAAGTTTGTGTGTTTCTATGTTGATTGACTAACTGTGTATTTCCAAAGGAAGACCAGCAGCCAGGCTTCACTTCACTTAGAGAATGGATTGGTTAGGAACAAACCAATTCTTCCAGGTTTGAGGACTGTAGAAATAAAACCATTTTGTTAATATGACAGAGTACTGCATGAAACAATGCATGTTTAAATACAACATGTACAATGCCAAAAAAGATCATGAAAATATTTGTTTTTAATCTCAAAAAATTGTTTTTAACATTAACTCCAGATGAGAAAAGTTCATCATGTTATCTATAGATAATAAACAAGCACAACTACTGTATTAATATCATAAATAAAATGATTATCAGATTAATTATTTAGACACTAAAAAACTTACTATCTTTATGATATTGATTTCCATTATCAGATGTTTTTTATCCATTTTTTTTTATCCATTTTAAAATATAAACATTTAAATAAAACAGAATTAAATAAATGAAAATGATATCTCATTGAAACTTTACCTTCAAGTTTGATTGTTTCTATGTTGGTTGACTAACTGTGTATTTCCAAAGGAATTTGGGCAGACAGGCTGAACTTCATAGAGAATGGATTATAGATGGTTGGGAATAAAACATATCTTCCAGGTTGAGGACTGTAGAAAATATAATCATTTTGTTAATATGACAAGGAACTGCATGAAACATTGCATGTTTAAATACAGTGCCAAAAAGTTCATGAAAATAGTTCATCATGTTATCTTTAGATAACAAAAGAAGCACAGTTACTGTATTAATATCACAAATACAAAATGATTATCAGTGTAATTTTTAGACACTAACAGACTTTCTCTCTTAACAGCATATTCAATTTTGTTTAATACCTGTCAGTACAGCATACAAAAAGATATTAGCATATACAACATGTAGTCCTACATTTTTTGAAAAGCTCATTACCAAGAAACAAAAGTGAAAATGAAAATATATGTATGCCATATATACCACATATTTAGAATCAAAACAAGGATAAACCTTTTGTAGATTCTTACTTTTTCTTTTATTACATTCCTTATAGATCACAATTTAGTAAGTCTGAATTCCATGGGTAACAGACATAATGAATTATGACATTATATCATAATTTATGCAAAAGGACTTATTAACAATATGAAGTTTCCTTAGTATATTTTAGACAAAATAAGACTGTGCTTATATGAATGTTAGAGATATTAGATCACATAAGAATTACACAGTAATTAAATTAAACCATATAATCATGGTTAAATGCAAAGATGACCTTCATAGGAAATGTAAACAAAGCAAAGACAAACTTACCAGAATTATCCAATTATATGCCCAATTAAATAATCCAGTGAAATAACATCTCAGCTGATCCTGAAAAAAAAGCATACAATATTCAGTGATACACAAATTAACCTCATTTTACAAAGGAAGTAAAGCAACAATTGACAGACAAACAGGACAGAAATGTAAAAGATACCATATGTATTTTACCAAAATTTAGTAAACATTTTTTCTGATTTAAATTCAATCACAGAATGACCCATCATAGTAATATTAAATACACTCTGGGTTACATGCAAATTATACCTTACATGAACTGAGAATAAATACCCCATTTACATTCATATAAACTGAATTTTACATAACTGATTACTCTTTTAACTGATGTCACCATTAGTATGTCAGAATATTCAGGGTGTACAAATCATGTATATTCACCTTCAAAGTACTCAATATATATTTTACATGTTGATGTTTGAAATCACTGACTAAATAAAATACATACATGTATATACATGAAGGTTTAAAAAAAAAGGGGGGGCACACATGTTTATAGATTTACAGAGATGCTCAGACTGAGTTTTTCCCACTTTCATTGGGCCACTGTTGCACCAGAATGTAAAAATATGAGTGACAAATAAGGCAAAAGATTCTGTATATTTCATTAAAAAAGATTTGAGACAAAAGATTCATTGGCATAATATGATCTGATTGATTATTTCCATATCCTTCTTTTGGTCACTGTGATTAAAGATTCATAGAAATATTAGAAATGACAACTGAGAATATCACTTTAGTTGTTTTAAAAGCATGTATCAGTATTTTATAAGATATGCTAGGAGTCTCCTCATGAGAATATTTAGAATACTGATCCAATAAAAGGAATGTGAGACAATATGATCATAACTCATGCAAAAAAGATTTATCAACATTTTGAGGATCTTTTAGTGTCCTAGTGTATTTCAGGGTAAACAATGGCAGTGTTTATATGAATGTTCTAAACATAAGGTATATAACACAGTAATAATGAATAAATACAAAGATGACCTTCATAGAAAATGTATAAAGAAAAGTTTGTTAAAACTTACCATGTAACCAGGTAACTCAGTAGAGTAATATTCATTAAATAATCCAGTGAAATATCATCTAGGCTGATCCAGGATTCAGCTGTTCAGAACTTTCTTGGAAGAAAAAGGGTAGAAAATCAGTTTTGGTACTGAAATCCATAGGACCATACTGTTATTACATGAAGTCTCAAGCGCTGTGAAAGTCTGTGTTATTGTGTCAAAATAAGCAGCCATCGCGGCTTGTGAAGGACTAACATGACGTCGCTGCCAAGTTTATGACGTCACAATGCATAGGTAAGCTAGCTGACTAGATAGTTTACAGAAAGATGAGTCCAACCTATTTTTGCACAAGGCCCCTTACAGATGATGCAACAGGTATAAAAAAGATGATGCAATAGATATAAAAAGATGATGCAATAGATCTAAAAGATGATGCAATAGATCTAAAAGATGATGCAATAGATCTAAAAAAGATGATGCAATAGATATATAAAGATGATGCAATAGATCTAAAAGATGATGCAACATATGTACTGAATTGACCCGGCTATCCTTAGAACCCCCTAATCTGCACTCCCTTGACCCACCTATCCCCCCAGGGGCTGCACTCCCTTGACCCACCTATCCCTCACAGGGGCTGCACTCCCTTGACCCAGCTATCCCCTCAGCCCCAAAAGTGCACTCAGTTGACCCACCCGGCCAGGCCGTTTATACTACTCTCGAGATATCGCCAACATAGATCCAAAATATGCATAATAAAACATGTAGTAAACTAGGGTATTCGTGACATTCGTCCACAAAAAGCAAATTGAAATTTTAGACCGTTAGACCTCTTTAAAAAAGGCTATACGGGAGGACGAGAAGATTATCGACGAAAACTTTATCAGCAGGACTGTAAAGAACGTTATTGAGAGTCACCAATTCATGTATCACACTATATCTCATAAATACCTGCATTTTTTGGTTTTAAAACAAAGTAAAGAATATTCTTTACTTGTTTAATAGATTTTAAGCTTGACAAGAAATGGTGTTTGGATGTTGGGTAGATAAGGTAACTCAAACTGTACAGGTACTTTTGTTGAGAAAATGAAAGCTCAATATTAAACATATCTTTTTTATAATGCCTGTGACGTCGAAGATGTTGCTGCTCCGTGACTTAATGATACTAGTATGTCCGGAAAATCATTCAATACCAATTTACAACATTTTGATATTAAATTTTGAAGACCATATAAGTAAAGATTCTTTTATATTATGTGTTACATTTTCCCCGATCATGTCGTCAAATACTTTTTCTGTGCAACAAGTCCGCGTAATTTTTGAACGGCCCTCGTAAACTAGAAATATGTCCATAGGACATGAATGCCCCGCAAAGGGTATATCAGGGGTATGTCTTTTAACCACAAGGAACCACAAGGAACCCCAAGGAACCACAAGGATACCCCAAAGAACCACAAGGAACCACAAGGATACCACAAGGACATCTTATTTAATTTTAATGAGTCTAATTATGGTTTATATGTGCAATTTTTAGTCATCTGAGTCACAGGTGACCTATTGTTGCTAGATGTTATTGTCCGACGTTGTGCTTCCTGTCCATCTGTTTCCTAATCTTTTGAACCATTTCAGCTTCTTTTCTTGAACAGATTATCCAATTTCAACCAATTTTGGCACAAAGCATCTATAGGTAAAGGGGAGAAAATTTTCAGATTTCAAAATCTCTTACCCACAGGGGATTAACAGCCAAATGTACTCAACAATCTACATGTACATTAACACCCCTTACCCATGCACAACACCACAAAGAAACACATTATCACCCACAAGGAACCCAGTGACACCCAAAGATACCCTAAGTGTGAAAAAATTAGCAAATGATTTTATAAACCATACACCTACTCAAAGTAAGCAAGCAGTATTGCATGATTTAAAAAGTGGTTATGGAATAGCTGAGATGTTAGAGTATATCTAGTTGATAATGAGCAATAAGGCCATCCTTAAAAAATTGTTTGTTTGGAATTGCCGCCTGAAGGGTTTCAGACACTAAGAAAGAGGGAAAGAAATTATTTTTTTTTCAAAACTGAAGATGAATTTTAAATTCTTGATAAAAATATCAGTAAACAGTACCGGTAAATACATTTTCTGACTTAAAGAAAAGAATCTACCATCAACAAAGAAACATAATTTTGCACAGATCTGACACTACATTTCAGTGTTTTGTATGGTGCATGTGATAATGGGTAAAAAAATGGATTAAATAAAAAAAAATCTTCCTACTTTTGGTCAATAATTTTTTTTCAGGAGGGGGGGGGGCATTTCAATGAGGCGGGAAAACTTTAGAAAAACTGTGGGTTAAATTTCTTTACTTTGTGGATTCAGGGATATTTTTATGAGTATTTTCAATTACTTAACTGTTGATTCTATAAAGCTGAGGATTGGACTACCTATTTACCCACAGTTTTTCTAAAGTTAATCATGTAATATACATGTAGGAAAAATTGTCAAATCGCTAATATTTATGCAGAAAATTTGAAGAGGAATATAAGTTATGAATTTTCTATTTGCAAATTGATCGACAAATATATAGGTTAAAAAACAATAGGTATCCAGGCATTCAGAGAAATTGTCATGTTTTTTATTTTAATTATTTGGTATTCTTTGTGTTCTATTTCCTTCATGTTATTTATAATGCACAGTTTGAGTCATTAGTACAAGGGTTTTCATATTTCATTTTTCATAGGAAGACGGTTCTTCGTTACACACACCCTTTCCTATGCTTTACTATGGGCATAGGGGTGTTTTCCTTAATTTTTGGGATATTTTAAAATTAAGACTAAATTTGGAAAAGGGCTACCTCCCCTGCTTCTATAGAACACAATGGGTTAACCCATTACTGGTTAGAATGTTCACCTGTAATACCTGTATATTGGAGGTAGACAACCCCAAGGAATGAAATGCATGATCATGGATTAACTAATAGTTAGTCTGCATGGTTATTGAATCAGCAACCACCCCATAAAATTATTTCATTTATCATATATGCTCATCTATATTGGTCATTATTACAAGTGATTAATCATTATTATGTTCCCCAAACGAAGTTGGGGAACATATTGTTTTTACTCTGTTTCTTATTATTATTATGTTCCCCAAACGAAGTTGGGGAACATATTGTTTTTACTCTGTTTCTAATCATGTTCCCAAACGGAGTTTGGGAACATATTGTTTTTACTCTGTTTCTTATTAGGCTTCCGTTTCCAACGGAAGACCTTATTGTTTTCGTTCGGTTTCTTTTTCTCTATTATTATTATTATTCTTCCAACCGATTTTGTGCACGCGATTTCTCACAAACCGCTCGGCCGATTTACATGAAATTTTCATATGTAATAGCTAATCAATCGATCTTGATAGGTTTTTAAGCGTTTTTATGACGTCACTTCCGGTCGTGAGATATGGGTAATTTTCTGATTTTAAAATGCAATTTTGTCTTGATTTAGTAGCGAAAACTGCTTAAGATATGAACTGAAGATTAATTGGAGATGATAGTTCATGATTTATAGCGTTGCAGAATCGCCTTTTTTGGTGCGTCGTCAGTACTTCCGGTCGATACCGGAAGCGAATTCAAAAAACGCAATTTTTCAACTTTTCTTTTTTAATATTTTTGTTTTTGATTTGAATAGAGACCCTTTTGCAGAAGCGAAATATGTAATTTGTTTGAAAATCAAAAAAGCCAATCTCGAGATATTTGCATTTGAAAACGCGAAGCGGCGATTCCAGTGGTTAAATGGTTAGCGCGTTGGATTGTCACGCGGGCGACCCGGGTTCGATCCCCCATATGACCAAAAGTCTTTTATCATTTTTTCTGCTCGAATTTTCGATATTATTTAATTTTAGACCATTTGAAACAATATATCATAAACTTTTAAGCATATCTTGCGTGATTAGGGGTCACGAAGGGCCAGAAGGTCAAATCTTTGACGCTTTATATCTCGAAAAGGGGGGATATTTTGATAAGCAATATTGAACAAAAGATGGCCAGAATAATGTTCTCAACAATATGCATACTTTGAATTTTTGTAAAACGGCCCCATTAAGGACTCGTAAGAGTGGCCCTTAAATATTTCAATTTAGCATATCTCCACAACGAGTAGAAATCTCTGAATAAGTGTAGAACAAAAAAATCATCAAAATCACAAGACCATTCATTTGATATCAAGAAAAAGGGGGCTGACCCCTCAAATTAAGGACTCAGAGGGACCAAAAGTCTTTCTACTGATAACTCTCCAATGAACAATATTTTGTTAGACATTACTGAAGCAAAAGTGTTTATCTTAACGATTTGCAACAATATATGATACAATTTTGATCATATGTTGCGTAATTAGGTGTCACAAGGGGACAGACGTCGAAATCTTTGACGCTTTATATCTCGAAAATGGGGAATATTTTGATAAGCAATATTGAACAAAAGATGACCAGAATAATGTTCTCAACAATATGCATACTTTGAATTTTTTGTAAAACGGCCCCATTAAGGACTTGTAAGATTGGCCCCAAATATTTCCATTTAGCACATGTCCACAACGAGTAGAAATCTCTCTCCTAATAAGTGTTGAACAAAAAATCTTCAAAATCACCAGACTTTTCATTTGATATAAAGAAAAAGGGCTGACCCCTCAAGTTAGGGGCTCAGAGGGGTCAATATTCTTTTATCTATAACTCTCTAATGATCAATATTTTGTTATACATTACTGAGGCCAAAGTATTCATCTTAACATTT